ATTAATTATTAATTATCATGTGTGATCAAGAACCCTGGTGTTACAATGTTTATATTTAAGATTAAATACCATGTTTGTCTTAATAGATGTCATGATGTACTATTTGGATGGATCCTGAACTATTCAAGGATGAGTTATAGTGATGTATAGGATTTGCTTCATATGTTTCAGCAAACAAAAATGATATGAGGGCAAAAAAAGGGATAAGTAAAATAAACCAAGTAAAAATAATTTTTGGATCTTGCTTGGCATAATGACATGGAAGTCTTCCTACTATTGTGTGTGTTTGAATATTTGACTAGGTTTTTCTTTTTTTATTTGAGATTGTATCTTGCTCTTTTGTCCAGTCTGGCCTCAAATGCTGGTCTCAGCTTCCCAAAAGGCAGGACTACAGATAGGTATCACTATACCTAGCTTATATAATTTAACTTTTTCTTTAAGGAAAGGCCTTTAAAGATGACTGAGTTGAGGGAAAGGCTCATAGCTCATAAGGATAGCTACTGAAATTTAATTATTACTCAGTTTTTAAGACAGAGCATGAGATAAGGTAGAAATACTTTCTGAATGTCTACATATGTGTTAAGCTCTTGAAGCAACGCCATGATGAGAAAAGGAGAGTTCAGAGAAGTTAATAAGTTTGGAGGTCACACAGCTAAGTGAGTGGCAGAGCTTGGGACCTAATTCCTGTCTGTCTATCTGTCCACCTGTCCATCTATCTGTCTCTCTGGCCACTGGGTCTTATTGCTCTGCTTCATGACACAGCCATGCCAAAAAAAAAAAATGCAGCTGGAAAGCAAGCAAATCTCAACCAGGTGCTGGAAGCAGACATTTGCCACCTGGCCTGGAGAAGTTTGCTGAAACTATGCCATCATTTCCTATCCTTTTGGCCAATAAAAAACAAATAGTTGTTTTAGGAGCAAAGTTTGGATAAAGCCAGGAGGGAAATAAAGGGATGGCAGAGCCGTGTGATGCCAACAGCTGGTACTCTAATAAAAACTTTTTTCCCCTGAAAGGATATAAAGTCAACATTGGAGAAACACTGCAATAAAGTGGGTGGCTTTCACAGGGGAGGTTTGCTATGAGCCTGCCGCATATGACAGCTGTGCCAATTTTGACTTAAATGTTTGACAATACCCAAGAGTTCCATAAACATTTGTTTGTTCATTTGTGCATGTATACACATCTGTTTTTGCATCTACTCAGTCTTTCAGTCATCCATTCACCCACTCATCATCCTTCCACCTACCCATCCATCCATCCATCTATTCAGTCATTGACCATCCATATAGTTATCCATGCATGCATCCATGCATGCATCCATGGATCTATCCATCCGTGTTGTGGCTTTGCACATGCCAATCATGCATCCGCCACTGAAGTCCATACTCCAGCACTTAAACACTAATTTGGAGAGCAAAGATTTGTGTTTAAGGATCTCAGCCCAGTGGATACTTCTGAATTAAGTATTCATTTAGGATGACTTGGAGATTATTGTGCTGTTTTGCTTTAAAAAAATTTAAACAATTGGTTCATGAGGCTAGGAGGGAGACCTGTGGAGTGCTTGGAAATCCTGCAGTGGGTTGCAAGAACTGTCCCCTGGTCCTCAGTAAGCAATACTTCACTAAAATTATCAGACCAATCCCAGGCCCAGGCCAGCTAGAGGTAGTCTGCATAGATACTTGGGAAGTAGGGTGAGCCCAAGAGTGTAGCAAAGTCAGGTAAGGGAGGGGATTGGGTCATCTCCATTTGGGCCTCTGGCCTCAGTCCTCAGTCACAGGGCCATACATCAGTGCTGACAGAGAACACGAACCAAAGGGAGATATGCTATAGCGTTTGCTCCCAGATGTTTCAAAGTCAGACACATGGCTACCTCTACTTAAGACACAGTGAGCCTCATGTAAGTGGAGGGGAGAAGGAAGAAGGAGAAGAATCCTGGCTGGTGGGGCTGGAGGTAGAGGGACACTTAAGGAAGAGAATCTGCCCTGCCTGGTGAAGGCAGGGACAGCTACCTGCTTGACCTTTGAAACTGGAGAAAATCATCCCTGGGTTCACCCTACTCAGCTTCCACCAACCATACCAGAGGGAAGAATCTAGGGTGTCCTTGTTGAATAGTCAGATTAAACCTGATTCCACCATGAGATATTTTTGAAAATATATTCATTTTTTATTATTTGTCACAATACCTAAAATACTAACGAATACTCCCTACTGCACATTAAGGAAGAAGAAAAGAAAGGGGGATGGAGACAGTTTGTCATCTTTTTTTTTTTGTCGGTTGTGGGGCTTGAACTCTGGGCTTGAGAGCTGTCCCTGTACTCTTCAGCTCAAGTCGAGCGCTCTACTGCTTGAGCCACAGCACGACTTCCTGTTTTCTAGTGGTTTATTGGAGATAAGAGTCTCACAAACTTTCCTGCCCGGGCTGGCTTTGAACCGTGATCTTCAGATCTCAGCCTCTTCAGTAGCTAGGCGTGAGCCACCTGCGCCAGGCAGTTTGTCATTTTATGTGACATTTTGGACATTTGTTTATGTTACAGCTATAGAGTTAAGAGGCTATGGGTAGATTTATCTTTCACACCAAAACAAAACAAAAAAGCAAAGCAAAACAAAACAAACAAGCCAGGTTCCACTGCCTCATGCTGGTAATCCTAGCTACTCACGATGCTGAGATCTAAGGATCATGTTCAAAGCTAGCTGGAAAAGTCCATGAGACTCTTATCTTCAATTAACAGGTAAAAAGCTGGAAGTGGAAGTGTGGTTCAAGTGACAGTGTGTTAGCTTTGAGTGCAAAGGTTAAGGGATAGGACTCAGGCCCTGAGTGCAAGCTCCAGTACCAGCACAGAAAGAAAAGAACAGAAAAGAAAGGAAGGAAGGAAGGAAGGAAGGAAGGAAGGAGACAGGAAAGAAAGAGAAGAAAGAATTGTGAGGCATAACATAGGACAAAATCAATTTGAAGAGAGGAGCATGCCACCATTATCTAGTCTGATATGGACCACCCAGAAAATCAGGAGCAATTTGGAAAGAGTAAAGCAAAGAGCAAGAGTGGAGGAGGGTGGGTAGGTGGAGTTCCTAGCTATTTTCTGGCTGGCAGCTCCACAATGAAGCCAGCATTGCACTTGGACCAAGAGGAAAGGAAAGATTAACCAAATGGAGTGTGCGTACACTCACTTACACACTCATACACACGTATGTGCATGAGTACCCATGATCATATCACCTACAAGGTCCTGCACCTTACCAAAAAGACAAGAGATTTTAAATAGAGCAGGCAGGAAGCCACATTTTAACTCTATCCTCTGATAGATAGCCCTTTGAACATTATTTTGGTAAGTGGGTTTTAAAAGTTACATTCTCGAAACATAGGGGTGTGGTTTTCAGTATTAATAATATTTATACAGCATGTATAAACCCCTGGTTATTCCAGTACCCCCCCCCAAAAAAAAAACCACATATACATGTGAACCAAATAACAGCTGGATAATCCTGACACTTGGGAAGCTGAGGCAGGAAGATCCTGAGTTTGAGGCCAGTCTGGGCTACATGCTGAGACTGTCTCTAAATACCAAAGTCTGAGGATATAGTTCAGTGGTACAGTACCACAAAATACTAAAAAGAAAAAAAAATAAAGACATTTATTGTCAACAAGCAAAGAGAGTAAAAGTTTTCTTTCAAGGATGAAAGTTACCACTCCCTTTTAATATGTATACAGCCTAGCACAAGAAGGGTGCTAGGCTGTATACATTGCTTCACACTTCCTATCTCCACCTTCTCAATTAAAAAAATATAGTATTATCCTTCTATGACCAATGAAGAGACAGTCCCATTATATGATTAGCTTGCATGTAGTTCAGGTAGAATTCACACTTAGCCTGGTGTAATCCTAGCTACTCAGAGACTCTTATCTTCAGCTAGCCACCAGCAAAAAGCCAGAAGTAGAAGTATGACTCAGATGATAGAGCATTAGTCTTGAATAAAAATGCTAAGAGTGTGAAGTCCTGAGTTCAAGCCCCAGTACAAGCGCGTGTGTGCACGCGCGCGCGCACACACACACACACATACACACACACACACGTTTCAACTGGAGGGCATGGCTCAAGTGGTAGAGTATCAACCTAGCCAGTGTAAGGCCCTGCGTTCAGATACCAGTACCACCGCCAAACAAAACAAAACAAAAAAACCCAACAAAACAGATAGTCATTCACACCTGTCTGTAATCCTAACTACTCAGGAAGCTGAAATCTGAGGATTGTGGTTCAATGCCAGCCCAGGCAGGAAAGTCTTTGAGACTCTTATCTCCAATTAATCACCAGAAAACCAGAAAATGGTGCTGTGGCTCACGCGGTAGAGCACTAGCCTGGAGCAAAAGCACCCAGGCCCTGAGTTCAAGCCCCACGACTAAGAAAAAGAAAGGTCCAAATAAATATAAATTAAGGCCAAACAAAATCTCTAGATGTGCTCAACTTCTAGATCTTTTTTTCATTCATACTTAGCTACAGATTTCTCTAAATGTACTCAGGAGAGTATCACTCAGAATATTCTAGAGATTTCATATCCCTAATACAGCAATGGTTTTCTATTTTTGTAAATGTTCCTAGGTCAAGAAAATCTCCTTTGGTAGTACATGTTTTTTTCCAAACAAATGTACTTTCCCAGCTCCACTTCTGACATTTTGTTGGTTAACTGGAGATAAGAGTCTCAAGGCAGGAAAGCCCTTGAGACTCTTATCTCCTGTTTTATAGACCCTCTGTAGTCCTGAACTCTTCAGCTATAAGATAATATTGCATAGCATCAATTTTATGCATATTTTGTTCACGTCCAACTCCTCCGCCCGGAAAGAAACTTGAGGATAGCCCCAGAAAGTCAAATTCTGAGTGGGTGCTGAGAGAGTGTAACTTAAATGACATAAATGCTTCAAACTCAAGACAGGGATAACTATGGGCAGGAGATACGGGGAGAGGCCTAGGAAAGTGGGTGTCCATACACATTTGGACGCAGGTGCCCACCTCTTCCCATTGCTGTCCCGTAGCATTGCTCTTCCCATCACTCTGGACTTGGTTTCCAGCTCCTGCACTTCCTCCAGCAATGTCTTCTTGCAAGTGTGCTTGGCTCTGTGGCAGGAGGACAAGAAAGAAAAAAAATATGGCATGTGACTTTGATGGACCTGTGAAGAATGGCTACCTACCCTCTTCTACCACAGCAGGAGGCCCCTGGGTGAGGCAGACATGGAATATTCATGGTCTTAACATACAACACAATTTCCACCTCCACAGCCTGAATCATTGGAGTACCACAGATGACACCTAGACCTTGAAGGTCAAGGTCATTCCTCTAGAGAGAATGAGGTTTCTGAACTTGGCTCAGGATCCAGCTAATCAGGCCAAAGACCATGGTCTGTGAAAACCCAGAAATTGGTCCTGGTTTTTCTCCTTTCCTCCCTTCCTCCCTTCTTTCCTTTCTCTCTTTTACTTACTTTCTTCCTTCCTTCTTTTACTTAGTTTCTTCCTTCTTTTTCTTTATTTCTCTTCTCCTTTCTTTTTTCCTTCCTTCCTTCCC